TAGTACATCACGTACAAGCAAGTCGTTTCTTATGAGCCTGTCCCTTACCCATTTGAGCAGGGGTTCACGGGTTTAAGTGGGTAGAAGAACTGGGTTCTTTACCCACAGGGTCAAGGGACACGGCTCAAAACCCAATATCTCTGTGTGAACCAGTAGATACCCTCTGCAAAGAACTCCTTGGCCTACTGCTGGAACCGCTACACCACTGCAGGCTTCATCCAACCTGAGTCCTGATCCTTTGATACTTAGAGGCAGCTCCGCAATTGAGTTTCATTTGAACAGCCATTATGATGTCATTTTTTCAGGTGTACCAGTATCCACACAGTGGGAGAGTCAAGGTTATTACTACCCAACGCAAATAGCACAGTTTGGCTTGTCTCACTACAGCAAGAATCTCACAGAGCCTGAACCTCGTCGTACCTTACTTGAGGATGCTGAGAGGGATTTGTTAGCACACTGGGTGGTACCAAATGGTGCAACGCTTAGTAGAGTATTGGATTCACATACTGGTAGCCATGTAGTGGAGTTCTCTAGCCCTGGTATGTAGTGAATATTACTTCAAATTAGTATCATTGCGAGATTCTTAAGTTACCAGTTAAATTCAGCAAGTAAGGAAGAATATTTTTGTAGTTATATTTCATAATGCATTGTTAATAACTTCTCTGTTTTGTTTTTCTATCTGTATGTAAGTTCCCTTTACAATGAAATTCCCATTGGAGTTTACTTTTTGGAGCAGTGTAACCGAATATGAAACTTAGAAAAATCTGATGTGGAAGAATTTTAGCAGTAAGGTTATTGACTTTGGATCATTGAAATTGAATGTTACAAGCCCATATCTATACCACTTTCTTTTTCTGTGTTCAGCATAGTCTACATTACTGAAGATGGAGACAGTAGATTCCTCAGAAGCTTTGGTATCTGTCTGCCAAACTGCACAGCTTGTCACATCTCAGAGTCATTGTAGTCAGCACTGTGAGAATATTAATCTTATACTAAACAAATCAGTTTCAAAAAGATTGCTCATGACTGTTTATTGAAGTCTGTATAAATGTTATGTCCCTCCATTTCCACATTGTGATGGCGGTCTTTGTGAATTTTATCAAAATGAGAGTACCCTAGGCATTTAAACCTTTATCTCCCATTCATGTTGCACATTTCAAATTAACAGTTTTTTCTTCTGGTGCCAGTAGAACTAGAAACAGAAATACAGCAATGACCAAACATGCCAGCCTTTAATTTTAAATTATTATGTTTCAGACTCAGTAACAAGTGGCATTTCACTTAAGCTGGATCATGTTCTCGACTTCATGCTGAGTCTCACCTTCAAACTCGCTGTCAATAGTAGTTTCACAGTTGTTCTCCAGTCTCGTGAGAAGCGGGATCAGATTTTCCAGTTACACTACACGTGTTCTGATCTACTCATCTCAGCACAAGATCAGCACGTTTATCATGGCATTGGACGCTGTGGACAAACCCAGCCATGGCGAAGACTTACTCGTGATCTTATTGTTGACTTGCACAAGGGATTAGCATATCAGAATAAACTCAAGAGGAAACTGTCCAGATCCAAGCTCAAGGTTCATAATTACTATCCTTCATGTTGTGAGTAATGAAATGCTTAGTAGGGACTAAGGTGAACTGGGCTATTAGATATCCCTCCTGTATTCTTTTGTAGGGAAAATTTTTAAGGAAGAATCATTTCATTATTTGTCCAGTTAAAATTCTTAGTGACATACATATCTATTGAAGAGTTCTGTCTTGTGGGATATAACACCATGTAGGTTATTGAAAGTCAACTCATGTTTCAGAGGAACGTGCTCTGCTTGCCACCTGCTTTCATGCTGGTTTCTTGATTTACTTATTTTTTGAACCTGAAGATAGAGGGGACATGTTCCTCTGAAATGTAGGCTGACTTTCAACGAACTACACCCCATTATATCCAAGAAGACAGAAGTCTTCATAACCACCGCTGTGAGAACCTCAAATCCTACAAATCTGTTCATCTCCATCCCTTCATAGTGGCCCATTTTAGGTCCAAAAGTGCTTCTGAAGGGGTAGAATGCATTTTGAATTGTGTACACGTCCCTGCAGAGCCACCTGTAAGCCCGTCACAAGGTTGCTACCTAACAAAAACACAGAATAAACACAGACAGAGATCCATGCCTTGAGTGGGATTTGAACTCACGATCCCAATGTTTGTGTGGGTGAAGACATTTCATGCCCTAGACCGTGCATCCAATATGATCGGCACATGCTGAAAGTGCATACTGCAAAATAAATATTTTGTTTTGTCATGGCATGTCTATCCATGGTTGGATATAATTGTCTGAACAAAGCACTGGTAAACAACCAACCCTGGGTATGGGATGAAAGTGTCTTACATACCTTTTCTTCCCATAGGTAACTGGCCTTACATTCCATGGATCAGGCCACCTGGATAATCTGACCCTGTCGACTAGTGAGCACTTGTCACAATTTTATGATGCCGCACAATGGCTGGTTCATCACCAAGATTCTTCCACTGGTGGTTGGCCTAATCCTGTGCGGCGACGAGTGGCCCCGGGCATGGCTGATCTAGAACCGGGCTGGTGAGTTAGTATGATGGTGATTGTAAATTTTTGTGAAGGTGGTGTTCTTGTATTTGTTAAATGAGAATGTTTATAATAACGTAATTCATGACTCTATGTAGAAAGACTGACTTTACTATAATGTACTTTCTGTTAAGTATGTGTTTTGTAGGATTAACAGTTCAGTGCTTAAATTGCTGTGTAAGACATGTATCCTGTTTGTTCCCTCGTCTCTCTCCCAGTAATAATGTAAATCCCCATTTAATCAATTGGGGTTCACTTTTCATGAAACCCAACTTAAATTCTCACAGTCCTTCTTTCTTTCCTTTCTCTCCCTATCTGTGGACTAGCCCTATCAATTGGGCCTAACTGAGTAGGCCTATCACCTGAGGACAGAGGCAGAGTGTAGTCTCCAAAACATTTTAAATAAAAATAAATGGGATGATGGATAATGTATTAATGTATGATCATCACTAACTTTTAGATATTATAAGAATTCTCTGTTGCACCAGGTACTCAGCAATGGGTCAGGGTCACGCTTTATCTGTTCTGGCACGTGCATATCATCATTCAGGTGGTGATAACTCATACCTCCATTCAGCTTTGGCCGGCCTGCGACCATTTGATGTGGCAAGCTCAGCTGGTGGAGTCCTTGCCAGCTTCTTGGGACGCATTCCCTGGTATGAAGAATATCCTACGGAGCCTGCTTCATTTGTCCTCAATGGCTTTATCTATGCTTTGCTTGGGCTGTATGACCTGAGTACAGTTGCCCCTGCTGCCTCGCATAAGGCTGCTCAACTATTCAGACAAGGAATGGTCTCTCTGAAGCAACTGTTACTTTTGTATGATACTGGTTCTGGCACTACATATGATCTCAGGCACTTCATGCTTGGTACAGCTCCAAATTTGGCCCGATGGGATTACCATGCCACTCATGTAAATCAGTTACTTCTGTTGGCAACCATTGACCATGATCCTCTTCTCACAGCAACTGCAGAGCGATGGATTGGCTACATGAGTGGAAAAAGGGCAGCACATAACTGAACAGCTGAAGGTCATGGGACCACTTATATTTCTATTCATCACTGACATAGGTCTCAGAGATGTACACATATGTACCAGATTCCACTGCATATGTATACGTTATGGGTATTGTATTTTATACGAATTTAGTCAAGTTGGAAAGAAACTAGGTTCTGTTGGTTTGGTCCCACAAGCATCACAAACACCTTTGGATCAAATCACTATAGATAACATTTGGAATTGTAAAAATAAGATATTTCCATCTTGGACAAACTGATAATAAGTATGACTACTCTGCAGGGTTTTAAGTGTGATGAAACAGCTTTCTGATCTATTGCCACTGAGCATACAGAAAAATGGCTTTAATGCATATGGCATGTTTTGAACCACTGGTGAGTCACTGTCCTGTGTACAGTTATGGAGTGACCACCTGTTGAGTTTCCCAGACCTACAGACAGTATGACCCACTAGTTAGTCTCCAATATGTGTGTAGTTGCAGAGTGAACGAGAGGCCTATAGGCAGTGTGATCAACTGCTGAGCACTCTGTGCTTTGTTCAGTTAACAAAGCAACTAGTAAGTGGGTTAACCCTACTTAAGTGGGGTATATTTATATAGAGAATCAGGAAAGCTCATATGGTCATTTGGGCTAAGCATTTGAGGGTTCCACAAGATTTTGTAATTGTCTGTACGACTTAAGCGACCTTAAGTTTGAGTTCAGTGTCCATTATATTAATTAATCATGGAATCACGTTTATATGTAAGGAAGGAGGACGNGACGAAACATACACGACGAACCACGGCAACGGGTTAATTAATCATGGAATCACGTTTATATGTAAGGAAGGAGGACAAAGATATAAATATTGGATTGGTTTATATTGATCCATCTTGTCGCAGTGTCTTAGATACAGCAGGCAGTGTTGTATGCACTGAAATACTCATACTCAGTGCTTTTTCTTTCCGCCAATACATGGTGATATGCGTACTGGCAGATAGTTCTTGTGTCCAACCTTCAGGCTATAATTGAGCACAAGAATACTGGCAGATATGTTTTCAGAAAAAAGTAAACACTGTTCTTACTAGTCATGCAAATGCTTGGTATAATGTTATCTAGCAGCTGTGCCGTGTGCAGTGTTCATGGGTCCATTTATGAAAGACTGGCTATAAAGTTCCATCTTACATTACCAAGACATTTACTGTAGTTTGGCTAGTTGTATGTTGGTTCAGTCCATGACAGCTACCAGACAAATGCAGTAATGGGTCCCATTGTTAATCCACCATTTCCATTTAAGAGGTCTGGTTTACACTTGTGAAAGTCTGATTGAGGGGTGTTAGAAAACTTTCATCTGTCATGAATTTAAAATGGTGTCATAGAATGATAACCTTTAGGACATTTAATTTTAACAATGTAAATGTTCAAATAGGAGTGTAAAGATTGTTACTTGGTTAATAACCAAACAAGACAATTCATGAGTATTATTTTAATATCTAATTCGGGGCTGTCAAACATAAAGCCGTTGTACCTTATGAACCTACCCAAAGGCTGTGCTGTGAAAAATATATTTTTTCCAGTATTCTGATGTAAACATCAGCTGATAACTGCAGGAGTAATCAGGTTTAGAAGCACAAGGAAAACACCCATAAAGGGGAAAAACGTTTATTTAAATTGTTTCAAGGCCAACAGTGATTAAAACATTACACAGAATATTTAGTAAGTGTTTTTAATTATGATTTTTTTTAAAGAATTTGCTTCCTGTGTAAACATGGGGAAAGCAACAACCTTTTGGGAAATGGAAGGAAACTCTTGCCAGCTGTACAGAACTGACTGGCAGAATTCATGCAGCCTGTGCACTCCAGGTTGGACAGCCATGATGTAATGAATGCTGCTGGGTGTTAGTGTAAAATGTATTATTTGTGATCCATTTTCATCAGATTTCTTAAGTTAAAATTTTGAAATTCACTTTTCCAACATAGGTCAACACTATAGATTCATGATGGATGAATTTGTTGCCTGAAGTATGAAGCATGATGGAGTTTCTGTTGATTGCAGTATGTGACAAATCATAGTTGTTAGAAGTACAAATTTGCTGAACTGCTGCAGATTTTATTACTACTGTCATGTGAGATGTGACACCATATAGTCAAATAGAAGTTGACTGACATTTCAAAGGAATGTACTGTTTCTCACTGCTTCCTAGTTTGCTTGCTCAGTGCGTTCTTGGACCTTGAAGATGGGAGAAGTTCTTTGCTCTGAAATGTCTGTAAACTTATATCAGACTACTTAGCATCACATAGAAAATAGCACTCTTTATGGTTACTGTTGTGGGAAGCTCAGTTCTTAGTTATAAATTTTTCTGCGCTCTTCTTTGTAGAGACTATGAAGAACACCACCTATCTGAAGAGTGTCACAAACTTCATATCTTGAAATTCTCTCAGTATGTATGAAATTATCAAGATACACTGGGTTCCCTTGCTTTCACAGTAAACTATATGTAACTGGGGCATGCCAGGGAGTTCATAACATGGTTGATGTGTGTACATTCTGTTAGTTAACACTTCTGTTTTTGTTTTTGTTTTTGTTTCCTGCTGTGAACCTAATAGAGAATACCCAAAGATATTACAAAATTTACTCTGTATTCTTGGCCAATTTGCAGCCATGACTGTTAAAGACACTGTCCAGTTATTCAGGAATTCCCAGTTGCAATTTGCATCTTTATTCCCAGTCTTTTTAAATTTTAATTTCTTAATTTGTGTATTGTTGCTTCTTTGAAGTTTTAGCTGTTGTGATATTGGCAAGAAAAAAAAAAGCCATATCCAGTGCAAAGAATAATACTTGTTTCCTATAAATGCTGCTTTCATTTATATCCCTGTTTTTGTTTTTATGTTCTTATCCTACAGTGTTTTATCTTCAATATTATTGTACCATATAAGGTCAAATTATGTGCTGGCACTACACGTAAAAAGTGCAATATTTATTTGGAAGCTGACAAGTGTTAATGAGCACATAGTGTTCTTTACGTTGTTTTGATTTCATGTCCAAGTGTAGATAAGTTACAGTAGGACACAGAAGAAATACAGTGTGAATTTTATTTCAGGAATCAAATTGACTGTAGAAAGCTTATAGGATTTATCGGTTGCTCACAGCCTGTAGAAGTTTAAAAACATTGTCAGGTGTCCAAATTTGATAATTGATTTCAGGTGTGATGTTGAAGGAAACTGTTGTTGATGTGGTTATTTTGCAGCATGTTGTTTCTTTAATATCTTTAGAAATTTCTATTTGATTATATTTACTTCTATGGTACAAATTTTGAGAACTATTTCTATTCAGCTGTTAGAATATTTTTGCCATGGTAGATTCCTTGTTACCCTCAGAGGTTAGATATTGTTCACTCTCTGTTATTCCTTTCTGTTGCATCTGTTTTGTGAACTATGATACTGTTACCAGTGAAAGGCAGTTGCTGTCATCTGTTCACTGACTTGCAAGCTGTGTGTTCCATTATTAACTGCTTTTGGCCAGCAGTTGTGCAAGAAGGCATGTGTAGGCAGGTAATCTTTGGCATAAGCAAAAATTACAAAATATAATGTATATTGATGTAAAAAAATTAATCTGGAAGGAAGAAAGATGATAATCTCATGTTATTAATTGTTAGGTTTATATTCCAAAATTGTTACTTTCATCTGAGTTATTCATTTCTGAGTATTGCATTATATCCTCTAGAAAGGTGCAGTAATAATGGAAAGGTACCTACCTTTGTGATTACAGCTGCATGGTTTGGAATTTAAAAGAAGCGGAACCAATGATGGGCAGAATATTTCTAGCCATAAACCCACATGTCCCATTTTGCCTCTTCAACTGTCAAGATAGAAAACTGACTTGATTGGACTCCACCTCAAGTGATAGAATTTTGCTCAAGTAGGCTATTCTCTTTTCTCTCTTTCATCAATAATACATGTACAGGATCATTTTCTCACTTCTGATGGTGCTAATTTTTCATCCTTGATATAATGAAGGAGACAGATATATCATATTCTTGTAGAATGAAACCTGTAATTGTTTTCTTACATGAAGATACATGAAAATATGCTGATGAAGATGGTAAATGTAAGGTAATAAGAAATATGTTGTTATATTTGTAGGTAAGGTTAAATCGTTCATTGTTTTCCACTTTGTTTTCTGTTTGATTGAAGAAATATCAATATTAGCCTCTGCTTATGTAAAATGTACATTATTGTACATACTCAATATCAGTTTATTAACTGTGAAGTGTTATAATGCCTTACTTTATCTAATTTTGGGGTTTCTTCAATTTTAAAGAACTGCTATCATGAGAGGCTCTCATTGACTCTCAGAAATCAACATAAAAGAGCTTTATCGTATTATAGCTATTGTACTTGTAATATGTGAGGTATGTATATATGTATATAGCTATATATTGTATGTATGATAACATGAATATTTGGCTTAGTTTATGTTTTGTTATGAGAATATTTGATATAAAATCACTTACCCTACGAGTAGCACAATACGCAGGTAAACTTCACTTTGATGTGTATTTTGTAGAAATGAGCTTAGCAGGGTTCAAATATTGCTACTTGTATGTCATTCCACACTGTATATATGTTTAATCCGTTGTCCTTCACCAGCAGAAGGTGATCATTATATGAATGTGTGGAAGGAAACTCATGAATAATGTGAGGACTGGCAAAATGAAGCCTGTTTGCAGATGGAGACAAATGAGAGCTTGTTGGTCCTGTTTGCATGGATTCTGTACCTGGAATTCTGGCATTTAACTGTGCCACGCTGTTCCCAATAGCTCTGACATGCCCTTTCTGTTGCGTAGCTTGCGGTTATTTGCTGGTGTATCATACACATAGCAAAGTGATAAGCAGCACTGCGAATTCATTTCATGAGAGCAGTCCTCATGCGTATCTTAATGAGCGAGACTAGGGAGTAAGAAATTTGTTGTGTTCCAGCTCCAACCATATTTCCTTGTTCCTCATTTGTGTATAAAAAAAGTGAGTATCCATGGTATGAACTTTCATTCAAAGAAATTGAAATAGTTATATATCAGTGATTTAATAATTTGTTTCTTTTCATTGTAATTAGTTTACAATACCATTTGATGTAGTGATGAATGAATTTTGAGATGAAGATGTTCATTGATTTATATGAATTAGCTGGCAGACATATTCAGGTCTCAAAATGGTATTTAAAGTGAGTTGGTGAGTTCAGAAAAGTGCTCTGGTTTAATTTTTGCACATACTCCGCAATGTACAGCATTCTAAGTTTTTGATGAGCAAGCATGTTTAAATGAAAGTGAATTAAGTAGATTATATGTAAAAATTGGTTTGACTGATATAACATGCACTTGTTTGATTAGTTTCAAAATATCAGTCATATGCCCTTATCTTTGGTTACCTGATGACATTCATATCATATTATGGTTGAGGTCTTCTGTGATATGATGCACTGCAGTTCAGTAGATAGTTACTAAGTATCAAAGGAGAGCCGCACCATATCTCAAGCGGTTAGTCGCTGGCTTCCCACCGTGGCAGCCCAGTTTTGATCCTGGGTCTGGTCAAGTGGGATTTGGGGTGGACAAAGTGGCGCTGGGGCAGGTTTTCTTCGAGTACTTCGGTTTCCCCTGCCAATCTTTATTCCACCAATTGCTCCACAATCACCCTCACCTGTCATCTGGGGCTGGTACAATAGGCCAGAAGTGGCCGCAGTGCAAGGGACTTAGTCCCACCCCACTAGGAATAAGAAGAAGTATCAAAGGAATATATTGCCACCATCTTCAAGGTCACAGTGACTGAAGTTAGCAACGTTGCAGGTTATATAAAAGGGGGGGAAGGAAATGGGTTGTGGAATGTGGAAGGGGGGTTGATGAAGACAGGCTACAAACAAGCCAATGGAGAACTTACTCATTTTGATCCTCAAGATTGAGACAGTACTCCAAGATTTTGGAATCTGTCTATGAAATTATAAGGTGTTGCATCTAGCAAGACCATAATCTTAATTGTTTGCCTACCAGGCTGCTTGGGTTAAGGTGAGGTCTATCTATAACAGGTCATGGAGGTACATTTGGTTGTGAGATGTCGAGGCTTCCCCATTTTCTACATAAGTGGCTCTACAGTGCAGTTGCGAAGCAGACCCCACATTATTTCCTCAAAATGACCACAGGTGGAGATTACATGAAAGCCTGTTCTTTTCTCTAAACATTGGTATGTCACACTCAATGCCATCTTGTGAAGGAAATTAATGAGCTAATATCTTCATCTTTGACAGTTTTAACACAGGTACCCCAAATCAATTACATTGGCTCTTGGCATACAAAGTGATAATGGTTTACTTTGTGGGATCTGCATATCTGTTGTTGTTCTTATGGTGGTGACTATGTAGAGTACAGTTTTCTGGGTTGTAATGCCATGTTTGGAGAAAGCCCTATGTTTCAGAGGAACCTATTGCCACCATCAGCGCTGAAGAGTAAACCAAGCAAGAATCTGGTAGAAGCCGGCAGTTAAGCTTGTGACCTGTTTCTGTTGGTTGCTTGCTCGGCTTACTTTTTGACTGTGAAAATGGAGGTGATATGTTCCTCCAGAATGTTGGACTGTCTTGGAATAACATGGTGTTACAGTCCATAAGACCATACTCCTCAGATCTCTTACTTGAGATTGTGTTTAGTTTCTTCCAGTTGTGAAAGTGATAAAGTGGTTCTTAACCTCAGCTCACTCCTTACTGTAGCCCATAGAGGTGTGAAGGGAACATACTAAAACATCTGTGCAATTCTTACGAACTTGGACTCTTATGAGGATAGCGACTGTGATGAATAGACGAGCTTTGTAACATTTTTTTTTGTTAGAATTATGAAAATAGGAAAAATCCCTCACTCTGGAAGACATGTAAGATGGCAGGCTATAGCATCCGTGGTACCTCCAGTTTATCAAACGTGATGGAAAATGCTTTCTGATGCCCATCTCACTTTATTCCAACTTGAGTTCCATTTGAATTTCTGTCAGATCAGGTTGAAAGCTTCTTTGCTTTCTCATAGACTAGCAATTACACTGCTCCAAACATGAAGACAATACTTAACATTTGTAGTCTTCTCATGTAATTTACTGTATATAGGGATACTGTTTTCTGGAGGGTAATAATTGGCTTATTATTCTTCTTTGAAGAGGCTGTATGTACCTCCAAAATGTTGGTGAATGTATGCCAGATTACATGTTGTAACATTCATGAAGTAGACAAGGAGCCAGCGATAAAGAGTCTACAGTGTAGAGGTTGCTTATTGGTTCATTTATGTTCTTCTGTTTGACATCAGGAAATTAACATTAAACTCTTACACACTTTTTTGTTTAACATTAGAATGTAATTTTCTAACAAGTACAGCATGCCCTAACATTACTGAAGGGATGTGTTCTTGAAGATGAGTATATAATGTGAATTTTCATTGGCTCACATGTTGTAATTGCAGATGCATATCTACTTAAATCTGTCCAATCCACAACTGTAATAAGAACACTCTTTGATTGTTAGAAATAATAGTAGGTGTATAAGAATGAACTTTAAGGAACTTATGACCACGTGGGGTTGGTGTAGCAGTAATGCCCGAGACATATCCAGAAAGTGCTGAGTTCAAATGTTGGCTGGGATACTGGCTATTGTGGCCAAGGTTCCCCCCCCCCCATCACAATTGCTGGGTAGTACCTTGATTATATTCTGACTGCTTCCCTTCAGATCTTTTCCAATTCGTCTCCATATGGTCAGCATGCTAAAAAGAACTTGAACTACATTGATCTTTTCAGATTTTACAAATAAGCAGGATATAGCAATTACTTTGCCACCAACCCTCCTGTATTACTAACATACATTTGCAGGCTAGCATACATGTAAGAAATTTGAATTTTGTAAAAGAAAATAGTTTCAGCCAAATTTATTTTCCAATAATTCTGTCTCCTGGGATATTTCACCATGTAGTCTATTAAATGTCAACCAACGTTTTGGAGAAATATGTGACCTCCATCCTCACAATTGAAGAGGCAGCCAAGCAAGAAACGAGCTTTACTTGTTTCTTGCTTTGCTTACTCTTTGTCCCTGAGGATGTAGGTGGCATGTTTCTCTGAAATGTTGGTTGACTCTCAACGGACTATACAGCATTATATTCAGAAAGGTAGAACTCTTAAATGTTAAATTAATTTGAATTCATTTTGTATATGTTTGTGTGTTGGCATACACACATTCACATTCTTAAGCATTCAACACATGCAGAGGCACTAGTTGTTTTGATCTTCAGTTCAAACCAGAGCTTCCTCTGTGTAATGGCCCTATGTTTTGAATGTCTTATCGACCCACTCTATCACCAGACCAAGCCTGTCTCCTGAGGAGAGCTGAGGCTTAGACCCACAGAAAAGAAGCTCTGGAGGCATGACATGCAACAATTTCTACGCATTAAATGAGCAACAATATCTATACTCTTGCCCATTACATTAATGTTGTAAGATTAGAGTCTTCTGGGATGATGTGACGCTGTAGTTTGATGGATAAGCACCAATATTTTGCAGCAACTTGCTGTCTCCATCTTTTACAGGGGCTGGCCCCAAACATTTTCCTCCCCTCTCTGTATCACTGACAATTTTTTCCCAATGCATGGCTTTTCTGTCCTGAAGATGGAGCTGCTAGATTCCTTTAAAATATTAGTGAATATCTACACAGAATCACGTCCCTGAAGGCCATAATCTTCATCTTACTATGTGATTGCATTTTAGAAATACAGGATATAATTTTGGGTTTGTGCAGATTTCATTGCATTGGATAATATTGTTCAGTGTTTATGTTGCTTACTTGAATGGACTGCATTTTAGATTGCATTTTAGAAATACAGGATATAATTTTGGGTTTGTGCAGATTTCATTGCATTGGATAATATTGTTCAGTGTTTATGTTGCTTACTTGAATGGACTGCTAATTCATATAGTGTGGTTACCTGCTTCATTTCTTACTAAGGGTCACTTAACTTTTTTTAATAACAGACAAATCTTATAAGGTAATTGTTTTTAATTTCTTACCAAGCAGTAACATGACAGACTTTCACTGAGGAGGTACATGATTTTTTAATCTTACCCCGGTGTGATTTCTGTTGTTTCCATTAGCCTCTCCAGACAAATGCTCAGATATCTGCTCTTTCAGTGACCACCTTGTTCAATATATAGTAACCTCTGCAGTTGATACAGTATGATAATAATGAAGAGCCATAATCAGAAAATTGTGAGATTTGACGATTCTGATGGCATTAAGGCTGCAGTTATCTGCAGCATGTCTTTGTGTAGCTGGCAGATAGGAATTGACCTTTTGGAGGAACATCTGCTCTCTTCTGAAACATTGGTGCTTGAAGATTATTATCTTTTGGGATGTGACCATGTAGTCTGGAAGACGTGAAAGATGGTTACTGATATTTCAGAGGAATGTGCTGTCACAGACTATTCTGATTTCTCCCCTGAAGATGGAAGTAGCATATTCCACCGAAGCAGTGGTAAATATGTACCAGATTATATGATGTCATACCCCAGAAAACAGTAATCTTTAGTAATTGCTGTGGGAATTTCAGATCTCACATTCCTACTTTTCTACCAAAATACATGGCATCACATCCAAGAAGGCTGTAATCCTGACGGTTCCATTCCGCAAGTATCTGTCCATTATTTTTATTACATTAATGAGCAAACAAATTCTGTACATTATTTGATTGCAAGGAGAAGTTCCTTGTTTGTTCCACATGGTTTGTATTAATAATAAAGCCTCTCTGTAACAGTTTTTACAAAAATATCATGTTCGTGTTCGTCGTTTCTACGTGAGCTTGACAATAATGAGGAGAATGGAAGTCAATGAATTTAGAATAATATATATATATTAATTTATTCCAGTTCCAAAACAGACTAGTTCAAGTGTATTCAGTTGTAATAATGTAAATACGGGGACTTGCAGATCAACAAGACTGCTAGTGTATATTATATTGTGTGGTTTGTTTTGAATGTTATTAAATCTGGGTCCACACTAAAGGAAAGCAGTGTTATTAGTTGTATAAACGAATATACAGTTTAATGTTAATTTTACAGTACCATCAGCTACCTTCTGTTGTGTCTGTGTTAACCCATTCAAATTTAATAAATAGAAATGCCATATTTGACTAAATTTTGTATTGGCCAGTTTACACCTGTCAGAATCAGATTACCAAAGTCATATTTCATTCCTCTGTATAAACTAAGTCTGTTCTCATATCTTCTGTATAAGATTACCAAGTTTTTTGTGTCCAGGTTATCTGAAGGAGCCTCTTGTAAATTGATTTTGGCTAGTTCACTGTAGAAATATGCAAGAATCCACCAGCTGGTTTTCAATGTCCATTGTTTGTCTGCCCATGATGAAGGGACATTGGAACAAGTTATTCTCCGAGTTGCTTCGGTCCTTCCCCTCAAATCATCTTTTTACCTTTGCTCCATACTTGGCTGGTTACAGAGTAAGGAATATATCATAATTAGTATTGTTATCCTGCAGCTTTGACAAGAGGATGAACCAGCTTGCATCTTCACCAGGTAGTGATGTATACCATTATATTTTCAAGAAAGTTACTATATTCTATTTTCATCATACTTCCACTATTCCTAAACTAACATGCTGGCTTAATACTTTGTATGGCCGTGGGTGTGTGTGGCTGATGTAATTCTCTGTTATATACAGTAGTATGAAATTATATGAATATACTGCATTACTTTTATTGTTATTTTGCATAGAAATAAGAATTTTGTACTATGTTTGCCCTAATTTTGTAGTACTAGTCCATTCTTACATCTTTTAAAAATTTTACCATGTAAAGGTACACCAGCTTCTGCAAGCCTACAAATATTTTTCTGGAGGATTTCAGTGCAGGAGGTGCTTCATTTTTTGTGAAAACCTCTAGATGGCTTGACTTCCTGATGTCCTCCTAGGAAAGCCATTATCACTAGCAGTTATTTGCTAATTGCGAAAAGATATTTTTAGTTGTGAAGTGCATACATTGAGATCTGTTTTTCTGCTTGGCCATTACTGTCTAACAAAAACAATAACAACAACAACCAGTCATGTCAGATCCCCCCCC